CATTACAACCCAATATTTGCGGTTATCTGGATACCGGATAAATGGTTCTCTACTGTATTTAATGTGATATATGCTTTCATTAACATAGAAGTTACACTAAAAGCAACACTAAATTGTGTACATAATTGTAAATAATAGATTTCATAATAAAAAAATTTTAAAATATTCTCTTATTCCAAAAAAAAATATGAAACTTATTGATAATGCTGAAGCATTAAAAAAATATGCATTTAAATCTAAATTACTCTTGAACTTCTCTGATTTGTCAGAGTTAATTTGATAAAAGAAAAGAAATTTTACCTCCAACAGGGTACACAAGAAGGTTTGACAAAATATATGAGACAACAATAATTTGACCAAGTAAAAACCAACAGTCAAAAATTTACCTAACCAACAAGTTTAATGAAAATAAATTAGTTGAGCAAAATTTCTCATTATGATAAATTTTTAGGTTGTTTTAAATTTATATAATTCTTTGATATTTTTAGTTCATTAATTTTTAGTTATTTATTTTGAATTTATAAACACTTTTATACTTCTAATAATAAAAAATAACTTGCTACACTACAAAGAAAGGTTGCATACAAATTCTTTATGTAATTTGTAAACAAAAAATTTTAATACATGATACAGTAATAATCATAATTATTGTTTAAATTAAAATTATTTTTTAAACATGTTAAAAAATAGTTATTACCTGGTACAGGTTCACCATTAAATTTAACACTTAAAGTGTGCATTTGAGCTTCAGTAGGTTTGAAATTAACACGGAATCTAGCATTTCCTTCAGACTGAACATAATTTGGAACATTCCTGCCAGCTACAGATACAATTATTTCCAAATTGCCAGCTCCTGCTTGACTAGCATCAACTATAGAAATGTAAGTTAAGTAAGATAACATAAATTGGTTAAAATATCAAAATTATTTGGTAAGTTTAAAATTTCCCTCAACCTATCAACCTTTTAAATATTTCATAGCTAGGAATGAGTAGAGTAGAATCTATGGAATGCATTTGAGAACTTAGGTATGAAAAAAGGAAGAAATAAATCAGAGAGATGGAATAAACCTCTCATTAACAGATTTAGCGAAATTTTAAAAATTTATTGCAGAACTCCATGAAAATTTTGTCCTCATATAAGTTTTTGATTTGTGGAGGTCTTTGAACCAATGGTTTTGAAATATGCGACATTCAGTGAAATTCACGGAAAATGACATACGTCTAGTTTGAAATTCCAGAAGAATGATATAAAATAAAATAAAAATTTAAATAGAATTCCAGGGTACACTTGGAATACAATCATCCGTGATAATTTTATAATCTTCTATAAATTAACTCTGTAAAATAAAATTAATAACAAAACTTAAACTTGAAACAAAAATTTAAAATTTTATCAAAAAGAAATTTCAGGATATTTACTGTTATTACAAGCTCTAAATTGTAAAAGTACACAATGTAAATTAAATTTCAAAAGAATCTCTTTAAAATTAAATTAAACAATTAAAACTAATTTCGAACATGAGTAAAATATTTAAAGAATAGAAAATAAAAAAAAGATATCGTACTACTAAAGTAAACAGGTTTGCCAACAACTCCAGATCCAATATCAGTAATCTTAACTCTAGAAGCATCATATACTTTCACAAGATATGGACTAGAAGCAATAGCTTGTCCATCAGCTCTAATATCGACAGCATGATCACCTTTAAACAAATATTAAAGAATGGAGCTAAAATATATTTTTATGAACTATTTAAAATAAGTAAATTTGAGTTTACATACCAACTTCAACAGGTGTATATTCTACTCTGTATCCAGCATGATAGTTTCCATGAACAAAACATTTCAGCGGCAATTGGTTTGGTCCTGATGGATGAGAAAATTAATTAAATGACCAGAAATAATGAAGTCATTGACTCAGTTTTAAATTTTTGCACTGGGAAAATTATAAAATGCTGAAATAAAATTTAAAATATCAACACAAAATCAGTAATTTATTAAACAATGCATGAGCTTTACTTTTGTGGAGTAAAGGTTAACTGCTAACTGACATTATAGCAAACATGTATATATTTGAATCACTCTTGTTCAACATTAAAGGAAGTCCTCACACACCTATGTCAGGTACTACTAATACTTTGTTTCTCATACAGAAAAAGAAGAAATTGCTATTATCAGTTGAAACTCTTGCCTGGATACAAAAATGAGGCAAATATTTACATTGAAAATAAAAGAGTTAAGAGGCTTTACCCATCACATCTTGTCTATTGGCACATTTAGACCTGAATTCAAAGTATTCTAATGATGAAATAAAATACATAAATGAGCTTTTTTTCAACGGAAGAAAATGGAAGCCTTTGAGAAATATGCAACATTTATTTTTACAGAACTTTTTAATTAGAATATCGCATCTAATATTTTTTTTTTTACTTGTTAACCATAATTTTTTAATAGTATCTTAATTTATGTATATTTCATACCAAAATTCAAAATTTGAGATAAGTAGATTGAATAGTTCCTTAGAAAATAGGAAAAGTTCTCTCTTTAAAACAAATAGTAAATTTTGAAAAACACTAACAAATTTTCTTTTAAATTTTTGAAAATGGCATCATAGTATTAAATAAGGTCATAGTATTAACAAGATGTATCAAGATATACTTTGTAATCTATTAAAATATTTTTATCATAATTAAATTTAATAACTAAAAAGATAATAAATAGCAAGGGTTTTCCTATTGTTGGAAGCTATCTTTGAGTAAACATGTTATGTACATTGCATTAGTTATGTAACTTTTATGTTAGTTATGTAACTTTAAAAAGAAAAATTATTACAGTTATGCAGTCTTGTAAATATTACCAAAATAAAAAAATTTTAAAAATTCAGAGGTCAAATCTTTAAACTCCTTTTCTTCTGACAGTTAGTTCTATTCTATCCACACATGTCAAAAAATTATTTTATTTAATACGTACAAAATCATTGAAATAAAGCATAACACAAATCCTTCAAATGGATAAAATTGCACACTTTTATTGATTTCAGATATTTAACACAAACATATATGACAGATAAAACTACTTTTACAATAACAAAACCAACCTGTTTCCTAGTTGAGCATGTAAATAAAACATCGATATTAGAATTTTTTATAATGAGATTTAAAAATATAAGTTTGATTAGTCTTTATTATAACAAAATGACTTTTTCAACTAAAAGTAAGTCTTTTTTAATAAAAAGAACAGCTTACCAATGACAGAGCAATGTAGTTCACCAACGTCTGTTCCACCAGTATCAACTATGAATGAAGCATTGCAGTTCACAGGAACTCTTTCAATACCATCACCTTTTACTTTTATTTTGGCAGAATCAATAATAAAACATTCAAAAGGGCTTCCTGAAATAAATAATTATTTGAAGAAAGTGTAAGATTCCAACTTATACTACACTATTTAAATTATGTATACAAACCCAAAATCTTAAAAGCAAATGGAAATGGAAAATATGAAAACCATAATTTAAAGTTAATTATTTGTTAAATAATTGTTGAAAGAAAGTCCTTCAAAATCAAAACTAAGACCCATGTCTCATCATAGATTTCATTTTTTACAATAATATAAGCAGTTAAATAAAATTGATGTATGGGTAGTCTTAAACATTTTATTACCAAAGTATTGTTGATATAAAGTTGAATATCAAAAAGTAGTATACTTCTTAGATTCAAATCTATATAAAATGTAGAGAAACTTATTTGTCCCAGTTTGCAGTTTCATGTAAAGAAATAATAGCAACATCTTAAATTACGGCTGCACTTAGTATGTTACAATGTAATATTTTGTTACTATAAATGAAATACTAACATTAAGAGATTTTTTTCTAATTTTACATCTAATATACTTTATATTCTTTTAACCATATGATACCTAAATTATATTGCATTTTATTGCAATATTATCATATGAGTTTCAATCAAAATGAAATGATAAAAATAAAACACTATGAAAAGAAAAATACTTCGGCTTTAACAGAAGTAACCTAAATAAGTTCCCTAATTCCTGTGTTATTCAATCAAGCTGCTTCTTTCCTGTGCTTCCTTTCTGTGTTATTAAATAAATGACAGACATTAAATAGAATTATAAACTAAGAATAAGTCATTTCGTGTTCATAAATTTATGAGGTGTCAAGAGTAGAGGGAAAAAGGCACAAATTGGATATACCTGGAACAATTTCTCCATTGAACTTCAAGTCAATAATATGTGGCTTTGGTTCTAAGGGTGTAAATGAAATTGCATACTGTGTAGGACTTTGAGCTTGAGGAACAGTGGCCACTTGGCCTTTATTTACAGTCACTTCAAGATTTCCCGGCCCAGCATTGGATGTTTCCACTAAAAAAAAGTTTTATCAAAATATTAAAAAAAATTTATTTCTTTATATTTTTTCTATAATTTTATGTTCAGATACAAAATGCTGAATAACAATCTAGTGTAACACCTTTCAAGAATCAATTTGCTTAAATAGATCTTTTATGAAATTTTTTAATACAAATGTTGTAAAAGTTACGCAGCATTTTTTATAGGGGTTTATATGTTTACATTTAAAAAGATGACAGTATTCCACTATTTTTCTGACATATTGTTTCTTTAAAAATCAAAATTTAAAAATGACATTCAATGCAGGGTTTTTTCATGAAATAATTGATGTAAGACACAAAAAAATGTTTGAGGTGTGAAATTAATCACCAATTAAAGTACACAAGAAAATAGAAAAATATAGTTAACCTAAAAAATGAAATATGTAAAAAGTGAAAAAATGAAATAATAAAAATTACTTACTGACAAAACTATCAATTATACAATTAATAAAAAAAGTATCACAAACATATAGAAAATTATATTTCAAAAGAACATACAAAATTTCATGCTTATCCCATCAGGCAATGATTTCCAAATTTATTTCAACAGTTGCAACCTTTCAAAATCTCACCTTGCAAAGTGATTAAGTATGATTCAATTGCAGGTGAATGGAAAAATAAATAAATAAATAAATAGATAAAAACTACAAAACATTTTGAAGAAAAAAAATTGTCTTGGAAATATTTCATTGTGTCAAATATTTCATCTCAAGAAGCAATAGAATCTAAGAAGCATTATTACATAAAATAAAAGTATTTTTGTTATGTAACTCTAGCTAACAAGAACCCTTCATTAATCACATAACAAACTAAAAACATACCAATAAAAGTCACTGGTTTCCCAACAGTGCCTTTAGAAATTTCTTTTACTTTAATCTGTTTGACATCATATACTTTAGTAATGAATGGAGTATCACCAACAGGATTTCCATTAACTAAAACATTAATTCGATATTCCCCTAAAATGACAAAAAATAAGAAAATTCAATTCAAAAATAAGAAGATTTAATATTAAAGACAGAAAACTTGAAAGTAAATTGACAATTATAGTTATAAGAACATCTGGAATATTTGAAAATTGTACTTACCAGTTTTTTGAGGTGTATACTCTATTTTTAGGGCATTATCAGATATATCTTTTAGTTTATGTGAAATAGTATTTCCATCTGGACCTAACGAGAGATGAAGAGAAAAATGTACATATTAAAGAGCTAGAGCTAACATGTCAACTAGGAGAATAAATTTTTTACCAAGGTTGAGTTTAATGCAGGATTTAAAGATATAAGAGTTGCAATCAACTATACTGTGCAAAATTGTAAATATTTTGATTTATGGTAATTTTGTATCAGCACCTTTATAAGTTTACAATTTATAAAATCAAAAAAAAAATTTATAATTGAAAATAGGTAATGAAATAAAACAGACTTTCTAGCAGTATTATACACAAATTTCTTCAATTTCGAAAAACAAATTAAATTAAATTTTATAACTTACCCACTTAGCTCTTAATAACAACATTAAGTAATAGTAATCATAACAATAATAATATGTGTTAATTCTATTAAAAATGAGTTAATTTTTTTAAATTGTTTCTAAAATTTAATAACTAGGAAGATAAAAAAGACAGTTTATTTCTATAAATCATCTTATCATTATTGAGTTTTCAAGTGATTTTACAAATTTGAGGTGCACAAATCAGTATTTATTTAAAGAACTAAAAGAGCACTTTAAGACTGATGTGAAAATTTGAAAACGTTTATAGAAAAATTATTTTTCAATATGAAGAATGAAACAACAAAATGAGATATAAATTAATAGAAAATATTGCAAGCTAAAAAAACTTTCAAATTTTTTTTCTTTTTTTTTTGCAATTTTTTGGAAACCCATTCTTTGTTATGGTTTCCAAAACGATTTAAATTAAAATTATGCAACAGTATTATTAATATGCTACTAGATGCTTGTATGTGAAAACTTTTTATTTCTATTTTTGTTTCCATTACAAAGGCAGGGTTAATTTTTAATAAATTAAGTTAAATTTTTACAATTAAGAACTTTGATAAGTTATTCATTTGTTAAAATATATATTTGCTTTAACATACCTTCAATATTAATAGAATAATTTAAATTTTCAGTAGATAGGCCATGTACAATAAAGCTGGACAGTTTGTTCACTGGTGCAGCAACAAGATTTGTTCCAGATATGGAAATTTTATTTGATGATTCTGATAACTTTACTTTGAATGGGCTTCCTAAATAAAATAAAAAATATTTGGTAACTAGTCATGCTTATTTTTATTAAAAGGTAAACAGCAACCAATGCAGAGCATTACAAATATAAAAGTTGAAATTGCAATGAGAAGACAAATGCTAACAACATCCCTTTTGTAATATCACTCATTTTCTGCTTCAAATCTTAAATGAAATTTAACATTAACTCAGCAGGGTATTTTTTATAAGTAAAGTTAGTTTAAAATTCTTTCCAATATTGTGATCTTATTTCTTTTTTTGATTTGTTTTGTCTTTCTGGAAGTTGAAGATGATTATGTGGTAATAAGTTTCTTAAAATGAATAGTTAAAAAGCTTAAATCAAAACAAGCTAAAAAAAACAGTGTAATTTATTAATTCTTATGAAATTGAAAAGAAAACTAGCTTATCTTTTGCATTTCTTTCGGTAAATGATTAATTATAATTATTTTATTTCTTTCCTTTTTTTCTAAATTAGCATTTTAATATTCAAGGGTCAATCTATATGTTTTTTTGAAAGTTTCTGTTTTTATGAAATTGTGAAAAATCGATTCATAAATTTCTGAATCTAAAATTAGCATTAAATTGGGTTCTTTCAGCTTATATTCATTGATGTGTGTGCAACACATTACACATTTATGACTAATACGACTACAGGAGATTTTCAAAGTTTTGACCAGCCTGTCATAGCAGCAAAATGTGTCTGGTGTTCTAACCAGATTTTTAGCAACAAATCAATATAGGAAAAAAAACATAAAAATAAGGTATCTTATTGAACCTTTTTCCAATTTAAATACTATTTTTCAATCTGAACTGCTTAGTTAGCAAAAAAAATTTACCTAATAAGATAAAGGTAATCTGATGATAAATATCTACCGCATGTCCCAGTCTATAAGCCGACTTTTCACATCCCCAAAATTTTACGAAAAGTAGTAAAATTGTAGTTCCTCTGTCTTGGAATCAATCATCGTTAAAAGACTTCCATTCTGCAATGGAATCTACTTCATCATAATCTGCTCTGTCCCACACAGTGTTGAAAAAAACTTTTTTTTTTTAAATTTCAGAATTGTTTACTATTATATTTTTCATATACTTTCTTAATTTTTTTAAATCTTAAAAAACCTTATCTTAAATCACATTTGTTTCAAGATAAAAATAATAGATTTAAAACTCAGCAACCTTAGCAACATCCAAACAATTCCTTATTTACTGAGTGCAAAACCAAAAGCATTCGTTCCAATCCCATAGTTAATTACGCAGCTGTGTGCAACAGTTTAGTAATAACACGGACATATATATCATTATCTTTTGATATGCATAACTACCAAGATAATGGGGTAATAATGTCAGTATATTCTTCTACACCAATAGTTTATAGTTTATATTTTAGTGTACTAAGGGTGTAGTACTAATTCTACAGAAGGAGATTCAATGATTGCAGCTTTAGAAGTGGGTATTGCTGTTGTTTCTTTACTGCTCAGCAATCCTATCAAATGCATGAAACATATAGAGATGGAATGAAAATAACTTTGCTTGGTAATTTATAATTTTGGACAGTAATTCAGGGCGCAGCCCAGCAGCATTGTGCATTTCTTCATTCTTCTACTGTTAAAGAGCCACTTTTAAAGCATGGATTCACAATATTTTTCAAAAAGTGGGCATTTCTCATGACTATTTGCTTACTTTCCTTCACAGATGTCTGAATTTCGTTCCTTGTTCATTAGATAAAAATAAAAATAAGATAAAAAAATTATATAGAGAAAATTATAATTTAAATACCAGAAAATGATAGTTTATATATTTATAGTTTTTAGAATTTGTAAGTTTTTTAATACCATCTACAGGAAAAAGTAGAAAATAAATACCTGTTAGACTAGATGCTATTATTGTACAGACGATAAGTTTGTTTTTCTAACATAAACATTTTCCATTAATTTTAGAATTTGAAACACATAGAATTTTTTTTTTTTTATAAAAAAAGCATGTTTAAAACATTTTTATTTAATGTTTAATACAAGTGTCTTAAAGGTAACACTGGTCCCACAAACTTCATCCTGATCAGTTGGGTAGCACAAAATAATTTCTGCAGCAGAATCTGGATATACATCATCTCAAACAAAAAATATAACTTTCCATGCTGGTCATGCTAAATTTTATGCTGCAGCATCATGACATTTATGTATGACTTATTTCAGTTGACTGGATGACATTTTGCAATAACAAAGCATGTAATAGATTATATTGTATGTATTATTACAATTTACAAAAATTAACTTAAGAAAAGCTTGTATACCTGGTACAGGCTCTTTATTGAAAGATATGCTTATGAAATGATCCACCATCTCAGATGGTATAAATGAGACAGCAAATTTTGCATTTCCCAAAGGATGAACTTGAGTTGGGATATTTCGTCCTTGACCAATCACAGTTATTTCTAAATTTCCTTCACCAGCATGACTTGCATCCACTGAAAAATAAAAATAAAAACATATTACATCACTTTTTTCAATACCATAGTTTTAGTGAAAATCTAACATAAATAGTTTGCAAACATTCTAGAACATATCCAAAAAAAATTAAATAAATTTTATGCTTTCTAATATTTTCAGAGTTAGAATACTTAAAACCATTTAGAATTATTTGTGACAGAAAAATTATGTAAGGTAATAAAATTACTACGATTGATTCTATATCTCTCTTCCCTCAAAATTTCTTTTTGTCCATAGAATTAAATTTTGAAATTAAAATTTGAAATTTAAGGTCAGTGTTTTTATTACAGAAAAAAAATGGGAGAGAATTTCTCACCCTTTCTTAAAAACAGGGTGAGATTTCAAAAAGTTAAGTGAGATTTCTAAAAATTAAAAAAACATGAATAGACTTGGGAAAAAATATTTCTTTAATTATAATACATTTTTAACATCTTCTAATTTCTTCTTTTTTTTCCCAATGCCCACCTGTGTTAACATTATCTTCTAATTTCTAAACCATTGAATACTTTTGCTGCATCATCATATGGAAATGTTCTATATCTACTTTTTCATCAGCTATTCTCATTATGTTACTCAAATGCTCATCAGTCAATCTGTTACGATATTTCATTTTAATTCAATTTTTGGGTGCTAAATGACACATGGTGAACTACTGGGAATCACTAATTAAAATGGTAGCATTGTGCTCACACTTTCCTATGCTCTATATCTGCCAGCATAGGCTTTTCAATTATTTCTGTTATAGAGTAGTGAAGTTCGTTGAAAGTTATTTCCATGTTCATATTGTTAGGTCTTCCAGCATAGTTTTCACAGACTTCAACTTTTACAAATTGCTATTAATTGTCGATGAAGGAATTCGGTAACTCATTAACAGCTAAAAATAGAGCTAACTTATTATACTTATATTATACAACTTATTATAAAGGACTCATTTTTTTCTCAACACTTGTCTTAGCTGTTTTCATGTTTTTTCAAAATGGTGGATTTAATTCAAAATGGCGGAAGACGAAATTTTTTCCATAATTCGAGAGTTTGATTCCAAAGGAATAAGCTAAAAATTTATTCAATAATTAAGTTATGATTTAAATATAATTAAATTTTTAAATAAGAGAAATAATCAAGTAATTAAAAATGGACATTTTGTAATATAAAAATCAAATAAAAAAAATTATGATTGAAATAGTCCTGAAAGAAAATGGTATTTTAATAAAAGTTAATATGCTCAACTTTAAAGCTTAAGTAAAAATAATAAACATTAGTACCATAAAAGTGAAAAAATTAATGTGAGATATGAATATTTAACCTGTAAATTGGTATGTTTTCCCAAGTAAACCATCATTAATTTTGCTGACTTTCACTTGCAAAGCATCATACACTTTTATAGTGTATGGTGAACTTATATCTTTCCTACCACCATGTTCAATATATAGAAGATGTGGACCTAAATTAGAAAAGGAAAAAAAATCAATCATGAATCAAAATATTAACAATTCTTAATCATTTAATTATATCAGCATTTTTTTCTTTTCTAATGCAAACTTAGAATCATTATTTTTATTACATTGACTAAAAGTACAACAATTAATTACGATAACAGTTGAAAGCACAACACTTAATTAAAATAAAATTCATATCAATTAACTACAACTCAAATCAACTACATCAGACTAAATAAACATTAAATCGAAATTGCAAACATGATTATCACAAAACTGTATTTTTAAAGTTAATCATCACTATAGTTATTTTTTAATATTAATTATCATTATATTTACCATACTACCAAACTAAAGTAGTAACTAACACTATAAAATATATGTACTTAGTTTAAGGTTAAATGTCAAAACACTTTCTTTGTAAGAGCACCTTTCACATCATTACAAAAAAGTACTTTTTTTGTATCATCATCAGGTAATAGGTTAAACCCTGAGGCAGAATTTTTTTGGGCTTTCTGCGACATACCTCTTTTTAATAATATCTTTCTACAAGATACTTTTAAGAATAATAAATATACATATTACTAAATTAAAGTAACAAAAGCATAAACTTCAAAAAAAGAAACCTTTGGGATCAAATAAAATAATTTTTTAATTAAATATGTAATATTTTTTTATTCTAATATTATGGGCTATATTCTAGCATTTTGTAGGGGGAAAACAAACAAATTATTTCCTTTTTTGCATTTTGTAAATCATCATCTTATTAAAAAAAAAAGTTAAGCAGTAAGCCTTCCGTAGCAGTAAATTGGACTCTTTAAAATAGGGTTACTAAATGTGCATTTTCATTCCGAGATTCAGTTGTTGTAATAAATAATATATTAAAAATATTGGATTTTAAAACTATGTGGAAATCAATCAAAATAACTGTATTAAAAGAATTACAACAAAATTTTTTGCAGAAAAGAAAACCACAATTTTTACTTCATTAATCTTTATTTTTCATTGTTCTCAAATGAGAATAGAAAAAGCATTTTTTTCCCACTTGGATGTGCGAGAAAGGCATCTTTTGAATATAATTCTGAAGAAAAGATAAATTCTTTCAAAAATTTCTGCAGATAAAAAAAACCTTTTCACTTCCCAAAAGAAAAATCTTTCTGCAAGAACTCTGTAACGTACTTTGACAATGTCACCGTGTCACCATGATTCTACCAGGGGAAGGTTAAATGTAACCTGTTTCTGTTTTAAAACTTTATAATTGGTTTTATTTTTAAAAAAAAAGTGCAGAAAATTGTTTAAATACAAAATAACACATTAAAATAAATTTTACATGTAGAAAGAACCTGAATGCTTGATTTATACCTATATATTATGCATATAAAAGCATTGCACTCTATAATCCAATTTAAAATTTAAACAATTTTGACACATAAACTAAAATTGTAAAAACAAAGAGTTATCTCACTTGTGGTATTGAAAATTTTTTATCAAAATATTATCTAGAAAACGACACATAACAGTTTTATACAACAAAAAAAAAACACTATTTAATTTGCATTTTTAATTTTAAAGGCCAAATAACTCTTACACTTACCAACTTCTTTAGGTAAAAATTCACCAATAAATCCTGTTTTGGGATCTGCAAACAATTTAACAGGCAATTTCATACCACTTGGAGCTGTAAGAACAAAATATGCTAAAATTAGAAAATTGATTTCAAATATATATAACAATTACTGTAACTAAAAACTATAAAAATCCACACATTAGAACTTAAAAAACATTTTAAATTAAGATTTGTTTAATTTTAATGAATAAAAATAAACTAAATGTTCAACTTTGTATTAAAATACTGTATTTGAAATGAGACATTTAAGATTATTCATGCTTTTAAAAGCATAGGTTTAAGGAGATTCTTGTAACCTTAAACTCATTGCACCATCGATTTTGTGCTTGGAAAATGAAAAACAATTTCTCAGGGAAATATATTTCGTTGTAATAAGATGTATTAGAACAAATAAATCTATATTTTTTTAATTTTACTTATTTCAAAATTTAACTATGCATTAATTTGTTGCATTTTGTTGAAAATAAAATTAGTAGATATAAAATATATTTATAGGTCAAGTAATTTGAGCCCAAAAAAAGTACTAAATATGTTTTCACATTTATTTGCATATATTTATATCCTTTATTTTTCTTTCTTCTTTTACTATAAAAAAAGTGAATAACAAGAGAAGAAATAAATGTGTTTGATATAAAAGAAATTGCAAGGGGAGTTTTGTTGTAATATAAACCCTTAGAAACATTTAATGTTTAGGCAAGGCATTTCAAGGTCAAGTTCTTACAATAAATTTATCTACATAATTAAGATAAGATCTATGAATAATTTGGAACAGTTTTAAAATAAAAAGAATGAAACAACAACCTTGTAATAAGTCACCAGATTTTTAAAAAAAAAACTAATTAAACCATAACCTAAAATTTGATAAAAAAGATGCATTATTTTCTTAAGAGCTGAGGAATCAACATGTTTGGTAACTAGCTTTAAAGAAGATGATATAAAATGGCGTAAAATATGTTATAGCAGAAAATGAAAAAGTTTTGGAAAAAAAAACTAAAAAGTTTAGCTTTAAAATACAAGCATCATAATGTATGATTTTAACTAAACAACTACACATACCAGCAATGGAAATTGTAAGATCTGCTTCTCTACCACCTTTAACATTAATGTTAAAATGAGCCACTCGATTAATGGGAACTAAATCTTGGCTTGAAACTTCCACTAAGCAAGATGATTCAACAGCTTTGACAACAATAGGACAACCTATTTGTACAGAATGTAAGCTCAGTAACACATTATTATACATTCAATTCTATAAACACTTTCAAAGTTATAACTTAAAAAAAGGGTTGAAGTGAGAAAGTATCACAACTAACAGAAGTATGACAGTTATTTTATATTATTATTCCAAAACTTAATATGTAACTCCTCAAATAAGAAAACATAAATTTCTCAACTAAAAAGGAACTCTCTTTTTAAAGCGTAACAAATGGATTGCTCCTAAATTGTTATCATCTCCATCTACCTAGTCAGCTTGAATATTTTTATTTTTTATCAAGTCTGCTCTTAGTTCAGTTTTGATGAAATATACTCTCAGTTACATTCAATGCAATTTTTTACCAATCAAGGAAATTTTCCTAGAAAATATAAAAAGTTGGCAGCACTGGTTATAGCAAGTACAACATAGTAAAAAAATCGCTTTGCACAGTTAGAGCTTAACGAAAATTTAAAAATTATTAACTAGGAAAAAGAAAAAAAATCTTTCAAAAAATTTTGATTCAAAATTTAAGTTACTACAGTCTGATCCATAAAACAACCTCCCATTGAAGTAACTCGTCCATTATAATGACCGATATATAAATTTCCCTATCCTATTCTATGCAATGCTATTTTAACACTAATAATTTCAATATAAAGATCAAAATTTAGTTACAGTGTCTTAAGTTCTCATGATATTCATAAAAAAGTGTCGAAATTTACAAGCAAATACTTTTAACATTTTTGTGCTTTCAAAACAAAATGTTTCTTTTGAAAATAAGTTATTTGGTTTAACAAAGATTTAAAAAAAAAAACTATAAAAGCCACTATTTCATTTGATGTCACCACACTTTATTGTGAAATATTTTAAAATTGAGAGAAGCAAAAATTACAAGACTCTTTATATTTTTAGCCCACATGGTCATGATCTGTGGTCAAGAAATTAGTGAAATAGAAATTATTTTGCATTGATAATCAATCGTGAAGATTGCAACATTATACAGAATAGAGACATATATATTCATTAGATTAAAAGGACCAATTCACAATCTCTCTAAGTTCCTTTACAAAAGTACAAAGTAAGCATATTAGAAAATTATACTTCTCATATAAATTTATCATCTCTTTTTGTGAAATGTTAGTCCTCTTGTGCAACTTATTTTCAAGTTAAACCTGCAGTCTTTACATTTTTTTAATTATATAAAATTTATCAATATAATCTACCTGGTAATTGCTATAATAATACTTTAAATGGTACTTTTAAGCATATTGGCATAAAACACAAGTTGTGTTAATACAAATTATTCTGTTAGTATCAAAATTCTTATAAGAGAGTGTTGTTCTTTTGTCCAAATTAGCTAAGTATTTTTAAACAATGACTCACTATGTCTGATATTTTTGAGCACTAACAATATAACCAACTCACACTATAACATCCATTGTTCTTTGACAACATTGATTGTATTTTATACATATAATTTAAAATTTTGTAAAATTAAGTGGTTCATAATTCGAAAAAAGGCTTTGATAAATTAAAGAAAATAATGCTTTTAAATTTATTTTCATACAGGTGTTGGAGACGAAATACTTTTTGGATATGAAAGTTATCCAAACAACATTTATTAACGCACCTGAACTTTAAAAGCAAAAATTTTTCTATATCACAAAAAAATCAGACTTCCTACTAGTTTGTTAAGTTGCTAATAGAAGAAAAAATATCTTTTAGCTGAATACATTACTCAGTGATCCCCGTTTTATGAAATATTTTTGATCACCAAATTTTTTCTTTCAGATTTTTGATGAATTTAAATTGCCTTTTTTTTTTTTTTTTCTTTCTAATTCTCAAAAAATTATCTTGAACAGTTTTGTGAATCATTTCTAGAAATGCTATTAAGAAAGATACAGTATAGGACCAATTAACCGGGATGCTCGGGACCATCGCTATCCCGGATGTCTGAATTTCCCGGTTTTCTGGATCGGCTAAAAATGCCATTAATCGATGTTTTATCAAACCCAAATTTCAAGGACAAAGTGAAACACATTTTAAAATATGAAAAAAAAACGAAAAGATCTCATACATTTTTTAAAAAAAGTGGTAGAAAAATAGCATTTAAAAGGATAAAAACATTTGCAAGTTAAGACAAGAAAAACAAGTTTAAAAAATGCAAAATGTGCATATTTATTTTTTGATAATAATTAAAATCCCCAAATTAACTAATAGAAAACAAAACCAATAACTAAAAAACGCAATATATTTCATACCTAATTCCTAATTATACGGGGGTATATATAACAATTNGAACGTTGAAAGGAAAACTTCTTAATCTAAATAAAAACAAAACACTTGAAAATTATTGACTGGGGAAGAATTGAAGTTTCTCTGGGCAAACGAAGAGAAGAATTCCCCTCTACTGAACTTCAAGGATGAGTCAAATTTCCGCTCTTTTTATAATCGTTTTACTTCAAAATAACTGGAAAACCAAGCAAAATTCTTCTCGGTTTTCTGGATACCAGATAAATGGTTCTCTACTGTATTACCATGTTTGATAAGAAATTGACAGATTTAGCCAATCCTAAAGAAGTAGACATGAAATATATGTTTATAACAAAGAACATCTGCTCATAAAAAAGGAAAGAATTTTTATATTTAATGAGTCCAAAACAGATATTTCTGAGGAAGTTATTGGGAACAATAATACTTTTGAATGTGGTGATTAGGAAGAAACAGAAATTTTAAAAGAGGCTAAGCAATCTGGAGATAAGAAAACATAAACAAATCACGAACACAATCAATATGACAAATTACAAACCATGAGAACTTCAACACTACAAAAAATTAAATGAAAAATCAAAACAAATTTACATTTTATTATTTTCTTTTTTAAGTAAATTCATGTTATAAAAACGTCAGTACAGTTGTTGTTTTAACTGAATTGTTTAAAAAAAATTGATATTCTGAATTTTCATAATCACAAAATTATCAGGGTCCCTCTGTAATATTAAAAATTGACTGCATATGCAAAACTTTTACAAAATAGGCTAATTATATAAAAAATCAAAAAATATATAAAAATTTACATGTTTGAAATCTTATAAAATTAACAAATGTCTGTTAGCAGTAAATGAGCTAAATAGAATTTCAAAAAAAAACTATTTTAAGATTCAAAAAAAAAAAAAAAAAAAAAAAAAAAAAAAANAAAAAAAAAAAAAAAAAAAACAGTCAAAGCTTAAAAAAGTTGCAAATTTATTGGAATGCAATGAGACTTAATACTACATTTTTTTAATCTTAGGTAAAATTAATCAAATAGTATTTCCAAGAAAATTATTATCACATAACTATTAAGTTTTGTTACATACCAGGAACATTTTCCCCATTAAATCTTATATCAATTGTGTGAGGACCAGGTAATTCAGGCCGAAAACTGACTAAACAGCGGCCATTTCCAAGGACTTGAACTTGATTTGGCACTTTTCCATCATTAACTGATATTTCCAATTGTCCTTCTCCAGCTTGAGAAGCATCAACTAATTATAAATGTAAAAAATCATAATTTACATAAACCATAACACAAAAATCAAACAATCACAGCAGTAACAATACAGTTAAAATATTTATAGAAAAATTATAATAATGCAGCTTTTTTATGGAATTTAAAATTCAACAGCTTTATAATGATAATTACATAACTACACAGACGTTAATTTACAACTGGCACAAATAGATTAGTTAATAAAGTAAAAGGTAACTTATTTTCTGTTAAGTAAAGTATTTTTCAGCAGTATACAAAAATCATTTGTACTAAACTAAAACATTACAGGAAATGTTAAATCATAATGAGGGTTTAAAGGTACACCATATTGCTTTTCCATATAGATTGCTTTTTTGAATTTTCTGTAGGATTAGTGTACAAAATATTATGTTAAAATGATTTTTTTGAGGTTTGAATTAAAATAAGTGTTGACTAATATAGAACTGTAAACAAGCAGAAAACATAAATGTTCAAGCTTCAATTGTGTTTTCCTGGAAATCATATTTTCCAATCTCATTTTATCAATAACCAAGAAACAATTTTCTAATGTATTTAAATGAAATAATAGATACATAAATTCTTTAAAATTTAGTTTAAATTATTTTATTATAATCAATTTATAAAAAAATTTTAAGCATAAAATGTTTATTTCATCTATTTTATTTAAAGAAACTATTTGTTTAAGACACTTGTAAAAATTCCATAAAATTTGGTTACACTCTTGGTATAAAGAAAAGAGCTGTATCATATTATTAAAAAAATATTTATTATCTAAAAACAAATGTATCACAAAACAAACTGAAAACCAAATTATTAGTTTTTCAGATATACGTGAAACAAAACTGATTTTTTTTTCTTTTTTGTGATGGGATTGAAAAGTAATTGAGGTTGGAAGATTGATGTGAACTAGCTTGTTGATAGGGAAATATTAAAGAAAGGTAGTAGTGGCTACACATGATAGTTAAAGAAATTGAAGATAAAGATAGTTAAAGAGTAATAATATCTTTAGAAACAATTTGTGTTATAAAAAAATTGGTTCTGCAATAATAATTTGTGATATATCTTTCATAACTGTTCATTTAATTAATACAATCCTAGTTACTTTTTCAAGAAAAAGAAAAAAACTATATTTGAATGCATTTTTTTTTAAATGTTATAACATAGGTACAAAGAGTATAGCACCATTTTAAAAATTGAAATAATAAAAAACTACTTATGTCATAAAAAAGTTGCCTCCCTGATACAAAATAACGAAATGAATTTTTTTAAATGTTCATTAAATAATTACAATTTCAGTTAATTTTTTGCTGAAATAAAAACTAATTTTGACTGCTATTTTTAGAAGAAGTTACAGCTTTAGATGGTAAGTGTGTAGCACCTAAACAGTAATGAAGTTCTTAAAATACAATAAATAATGTATTTGCAAATAAGCATAAAATATATAATATTAATTGAAGATAAAAAATTGGTTTAAACTGAGAAAAAATCAATAACAGTAAAAAATAGAAATTATAAATTTAAATGGTAGTCTTATTGTTTTATAGAGAACATAGATGTTAAATGTTTCATTTCATTTCATTAAGCTTGTGGTTGCTGACATTTAATAAACTTATGTTTACTTTTACAAAACATTGAGTCAAGACAATTATAAAAAAGCAACTATCAATTGTAATCAGATCTGAAAGAAAACAACCATACCTTGAAATTGTGAGCTCTGTCCAACAATGCATGTTTGTGGTACATCTTGAACATGAATTTGAGAAGAAGAATAAGCTTTTGAAGTAAATGGACTTCCGGGCAAAGGTTGACCATCCACAATTGCTTCAATATAATAGTTTCCTAGAAAAAATATACATTAGTAGATAATAATAAGATAAACTACACTTCAAAATGTGCTGATCATTTTTATCTTAGACTTTCTACGTTTTAATTTTAACCTTGACCAAAAAGGAAAATATTGGTTTTTAAAAATGCTACTTTATCTTCAAATTGAAATCTATTGACGTGGTACAAAAAAAAGATAATTCACTGAAAGAAAAATATGAATAGAACTAAAAGAAAACTGAGTTGAATTTTCTTCACTTTATAAGTTCCCAAAATTTAGGAGCAAACCCTGTAAGGATTGCTGTTGAAATTATTTCTGTTGCTACTAACTAAACTTAATGAATTTTGACAAGAAATTATTTTTTTGTAAAACTTCAAGAGATTTCTTATAAATATAACTAGTAAAATAGTAAACAAATCTAATTTTCTTTCATATTTTTATGTGCTTACATGAGATTTTATAAAACTTATACATAACAAAAATTGAAGAGACATTGCACCCTTAATGTAACAGGTAAAATATTAGTAAACAACCAAAAGAACATTAAAGTTCTGAAAAGGCAAAAGATAGCATGGCCTTTTCAGAACACATGTAATTTATATTCTTTTAAAATTTATAGTTTTAGTTGTTAAGATAATATCTTTATAATATTTAGAAGAGGGTCATGCCTTTGTCATTTGCATGTTAAATGCATGATCTTAGCACAGCTTTCATTAATTTAATGTAAACATATTTAATCTACTAACAGAACTGGGATTATCATGATTACTAATGAATGTAATGAATTTTGATCAAGAAATTATTATTGCATATCACTGTAATTCTGCAGAGATAAGCCACCGTAGCATATACAGCACTGCCCCAAAAGTTGGTTAAGAAAATAACATTCCATTATAAACGCTTCATCACCATATACACCGCTCAATTTTACAATACTGATGCAGGTAGTGATCGCAGATTTAAGACCTATATAAAGATATGTCGTGTTATTAAGCCGTTATAAATGCGCATTTTTGTTATGCATTTATATATGCACTGTGTTATGCATATAAATGTGCACATAAAAATAATTTAAATCGTTAATCTTAATACATAAAATGGATTCCAATAACTTTCTATGTAAAATAATGCCTTTTTATTTCAAATTTAAAGTAACCATAAATATTGAATAAAATAATTATACAATTAATAATCAGCAAAATAAATTTTTAAATTAAGGCAAAAAAAAAAATGAAACGACAGTGAGTGGAAGAAACAAATTTCAAGGAACAAGCAGAAAAGGTGTGCTTTTGTTTTGCAATGTCATCACTGACATCACCCTTCTCTTACATTCCAAGTTTTCTCCATTTATCCCTTTCTGAAATATGCTTTTCCTTCCCACATCTACTCCTTATATTCAGTAACAGTTTACCTCTGGCTTACAAATGGAAGAAGGGAGGAAACACCGTTCTCTTGCTGAAAATAGCCTAGAGAAAGTGATTACGAGTAATGATGCAGGCAGTAGTGTGAATAATTCACATGCCTTGCCCATTATTTTGAGTAAGATTAAGCATGAAAAAAAGAATATTAGCAGCAGCTGGAAAAGGAAGAATGACAAAATTTTGGAACACAGTTCAAAAACGCAAAATGACTTTCAAGAGAAGAAAGAAAGCTACTGCCATATATCATGTAAGATAAGCCTTCATGTCAAAATTTCATGTTTTGAATAAATAAAATAACTGCGTATCTCCACGAAATAACAGTATTTTATTTATTTATTTTTAAAAAACATTAAATCTCCATGAAATAACAGTATTCCATTTATTTTTTTGAAGAACATTAAATGATATCCAATAAATATAACTGGTAAACAAACCTAATTCATTCATATTTTTATGTGGTCACATAAATTTTTATGAAACGTACAAGTACGTTTTAGAGACTTCATAAGTTATATTGAAGAAAACACATAAGTTTAATGATTACTGTGTTCAATATCAGACTAAAAAGTGGATAGATGGTCAGACATCAAAAAAAAAAAAAACAATAGATTTAGAAAGAAAGAAATAGTAGCAGTAAGAAAAAAGAAGACTTTTTAGCATAAAGATCTGGTATTGACTAGGACAGACTTTTTATTTCAATGAGCTTTTGTGCTTTTTCTAATGATCAACAATAGGCAGACATTCTTAAGTTTTATAGAACAGTTCATTATGAAAAATAAATATTCTTGAATAAGATTTAAGAAGTTTCAGTGTTGGTCAGTAAGAAAAAGGTTGGAAATAAATTATACATTTCTAAATGCAGACAAACAGCAATAGTAAATGTAAATATCTCATACACTGCAAGACCTTCACAATATCATTAATCATAGATTATATTTTTTTTTACTCCAACATTTTTAGCCAACTTATTTGATAAAGTGCAATATAAATTAGGAAGAAAATAATAACAGACAACTGTGAGTAAATTCAAAATATGCTTACCAACTTCAAACGCATTGAATTCAACAAGAAAAACTCCAGTACTGACTTCAATGATTTTACATGGAATAACATTTTTAGATGGTCCTAAAAATATTTAAAAAAATATTAACTAAAATGAAAAAGATGAAAATAAATATAAGCTAGAAATTTAATGATAAAAAATGACATTAAAAACAATTGATTTAAATGCTTAAAAAACTCACATCTATTTCTTTCTCATCAAAATCAGGTATAATTAATGAAGTATATTTTTATTCATCTATTAATAAACTTTTAACAGTGACCTATATATATTAGTAGCGCCTTAAATATGGAACCAAAAGAGGTCACACCAAAGAAGTGTCACAGCATCAAAAAGTGTAAGTACTGTATGACATTAAAATTGATTTAACACCCTGTTCTTGGAGAAATGTTTCAAAGAATTCCTCAAAAACTTGTAAACAAAAATTAGTGATATACAATATACATTTTTATCAATACAAAAAATAATATAAAAAATATTCTCATAGAAACAGTTATGGAGTGATTTAAAATCCTCTATAGAAGTTTTTTTATTTAAATGCTATGTGGTTGTACTCATAATTTTAAATACTTATTCACAAAACAATGCATTGGAACTGTTTTACCATCTAAAGTATGTTTTATTCATGAAATCTGTACAGTATAATTTTTATTTCACTCAGAAACTATTTCCATAAGTGTATGAGTTTTGACCCCTGTCTTTGTTTCTGATAATAATAATCTGAATATGATTTAGTGACTCAACTGTCAAGTTACTAGAGCAAATTTGAACAAAAACTTCCCAGTTCAGGTGATTTTCATCATTGAATAACAGGAGGAAGTAATCAACTTTACTGTGTTATAAAAGGAAAATGAGACTCGGACTCAATCTCTTAATATAATTCTTATATTTAATAAACTTGGCTTTATAATTTTAGTAAGTAATAACTAATCTACTTGCCATTTGTGCTGGAGAGAAATTATCAGGCCAGCTTTAAAAAAAAAACAGTCTACTGCAACTCACAGCGAATGCATAACTGTTTGATGCCCTATAGGAATCGGAACAATCTTTTTTATATCTGTGATATGAGCCACAAACACTTTTTTTATTTCTGTCATAATTGTCTACTGAGATGAACGGGCAATTTCATAACAAAAGCATCTTGAGGAATGGCATGTCTTTCTAGCACACATGGTAAAAAGATTATTTTCAGAAACATTCTTATTAGCCAAGTTAATTACCTAAAACATTTGTCCTGATATTTTCTTTGGTGCAACCTACTGCTGTTATCTCAAATGAGGCAGGCTGTCTAGTGCTAAAGGCTTTTAAAGCCTCTCCTCTAACTGAAAGTTTCTTTCCAGTTTCACTAACTTCACATTTCCATGGTGATCCTATATTGAAGAAATAACATACCATGTAATACATACGAAAAACTTAACAATAAAACTAAAATATAAATTTAAAATGTTAATATTACAGATATTAAGATAATTTGAAGTATAAAATTGAGATTTTGTTTTTTTGTACATGTGAATTAACAGAAATAAATTTTCAATGAACATTGTACTTGCCTGGAACATGAACTCCATTAAACTTCATTTCAATTGTATGAGTTGTTGCAGTATGAGGAATAAATGATGCGAGAAAACAATGATTCCCTAAACTTTTAACATTGCTAGTCACATGTCCACCATTGACTAAAATTTCCAAGTTTCCAGAGCCTGCTTCAGCTCCATTAACTAATAAGAAAAGTTACATAAAAGTAGTTAAATTTTTCATATTAAGGAGTTTATAAGTCAATGCTGGTCATACCAGCAGTTCATTAATTATTGTTTGTTGTTTTATTTATTTATCCTGATATATGCAATGAATATAAAATGAATTGAAGTTGTGATAAAGGATAATAAAATAATGTGAAGTTGTGTAATGTATGCAAAGAATAAACAACTATTTCAAAAAGTGAATTACTTAGTTTATATATATATATATATATATACTGTGAAAAAGTTAGGATTCATAAACAAGAATTTTAATATATAACTTTAAATAAAAGTAAAATTATTATAATTACAACTAATAATTTCAAGAAATCATATGACTAAAATAAAAAATAAATCATGGTTAATTTTTCTTACTTTCAAATTCAACTGGCTTTCCAACAGTGCCATTAGGAATTTTCCCAACTTTTATTTGGGCAGCATCATATGCAAAGCATTGAAATGGACTTCCAACCAGACTTTTACTGGCAACTGTTATTTCAATAGAATGTTCTCCAACTTCAGGAGTAATATACTCAACTTGGTATCTACCAAAACTGACATACTCCAATCTAAAAGGTATTTCTCTACCAGATGGTGCTAAAAAAATATATATCTAAGTAAACAAATATATGTACATATAAATTCACAAATTAAAATATAAAGATATTTCAGTCATTGTCCCAACAATTAGGAAACTGGCAAACTTAAAGGTAATTAACAATGCAGCAGATCAAATAAAACAGGAAATTATATTAGGAACTTAGAAGATAAATTTATCATTAAACTGAAGTTTAACAAAGTAGATTAGTCGAATATTTTAATAATTAAAAGCAATAAAATAATAAATCCTATAGATATGTTACAACTTGGGCTCACTAACATCTTATTAAAGTAAAATATTGGTGGAATGCCAAAAACAAAATAAATAAAATAAGCATGCTAACCTGTAACAGTTACTTGTATATCATCTTGTTTTAGCCACGGAGCTTGCAAAGAAAATGTTGTTGGTTGTTTCACAGGCACTAATTTCAATCCTTCTCCTTCCGTAACTATCTGAGAAACATCAATTGTGTCTTTTTTGTGTTTTGTAGCGAAAGAATGATAAGAATAATCAGTTAAATCATGTTTTGAATTTGAAGCCAATGACGGTCCATCAATATCTTTACCATCCTTAACTTTCTTAAGAAGCATTTTAGGCTTCACACCTTGGTTGTCATTGTTATCAGAGTATACTTTCTGGATATTGGAATGTGTAGAAGAGTTATGGCTTGATATATGTTGCTCAGCGAATGAATTTTCTTGTGATAATTTAGATTGTTTAAAGGAATCTATTAATCGCTCACTTTCAAGATTTTTTATGCTATGTGACAGGCTATCTAATGAAATGGGTTTTTTTGGAGTTGGTGGTGCAGGAGCTTTAGTATTTTTAGGACTCTCTTTATGAGCCATTAATTTACTATTGACTAATTCAGCACGTTGATGGAAGCTTAAATTTTCATGATTTGTTACATTATTGTGGACAGATTTATTTAAAGTAGATTTATCAATAGTATTAACAGTTTGATAAATATTATCTCTACTCGGAAAAGAGCTCAAATTACCATGTTTAATAATGTTTTCAGAACTTTTAGAAAAGCCATGCATGTTAGAAAGTTTTGTCTGAACAGATCCAACTCCGTCTAGAGATATACGGTTACGTTGTACTTCTTTTGGAGAATTAAATCTATCTTTTTTAATTTTATTATCCTCAATTCTACTTTCAATATCATTTCCTTTCAAGTCTTTGTCATTTTCAACAACTCTAAAAGCAAAAGGTGAGCCTGAAATATGTAAAAAATATTACATAAAGAAACAAAAATTAACAATTATATCCATAAAAGAGTGATAAAAAAAATAGTATACCTTTCACACTAATAGAATTGAATGAAACATTTAAATGATATCTCCCTGATGAAGAAGGGTGAAATTTAACTTTGTAAATTCCATTTCCTTGTTCATCAATTATAAGTGGCACAGAAGAAGAATTATGAAGAAGCTCAATTTTAACTTCTCCCCAGCCTGATGAGCTAGCATCAATTATGAAAGTCTTGTCTTTGCCTTTTACAGTAGATCCAAGTCCTTGAACCTTTAAATACAATTATTAAAAAGTCAAATAAAAAATATTGGGAATAAAAGAACATGGTGTAAACAAGATAAATAACTAAAAAATTCATACAAATTCGATTTAGTATATGACTTGTAATTTAATCTTAATATTAGTATTCATATAATTAATTTGAATTTTTTTTTATTATTATTCTTTCTTGCTTTCTTCTTCTCTTTTGATGAATATTTTTCTCTTTCCTCTCCAGTCTCTTATGAATGAGTGTGGTATCAAGCTATTCTAGTTTCATTCTACCTTTTCATAAGGTTGATATTTGTTGTATTTTTCAATTTAAATCTTTGAGATTTAAATTTTTAAACATATTACCTTAATTTCTTTTAGGTTTAATTTGATAATATAAAAGTATTTACTGCTAGGTAAAAATTAAAAGAACAAACTTAGTTTTCAGAATTTTTTGATAAGAATTTCCATTTTTGCTTTTCAATTTAATTAAATTTATTCTAAACTTTTGTAGTTCTTGATATTTTTAGGAAAACATTTATCAATTGCTGAGAAATATTAAAATAATAAATTACTTTTTAAAAAAAAGTGAAGTGAAGCTTTTATGCTAGGAATTTTTTTATTTTGATTTTTAATTTTATTTAGAATTTTTAAACATATACATGTCATTTCAATTTTAGGACAGATGACATGAATTTTAGAAGTTTTATTCATGACATAAAGTTTAGCAAAAATATTATTAGCAGTAGATTTATGATTATTTGAAGTGATATGCTCAAGTAATTAAATTGAAAAATTAATTGTATTTAAATTACCATTCCAATATCTCGATTTTTTTGCTGAATGAACTTTTTTAAATTAATTGTATTTAAATTACCATTCCAATATCTCGATTTTTTTTGCTGAATGAACTTTTTTTTCCCTACAGGATTTATGAGCATCTAGTTTCCCACATAAATTTATTTGAAACCAAACAGATAATTTGATTTTGAATATCATTGTCATTTTAAACAAATAAAAATCATATCTAATATAACATCAAAATTACCTTAACTTTCATTGGATCATAAACATAACATGTAAAAGGGCTGCCATGAATATGTTCACCAGCATATGTTACAATGATTTTCCACTCACCTATGATTTAAATCATGAAATTATAAATTAAAGAACAATAAATAAAACATACACGAAAAAAGATTAATTTACAGAGATATAGGAAATAAAAAAGCAAAATTTGTTAAAATACCACTTACAAAAACTGTGGCATTATTTCAAAAATGATTCTAGCAATAGGTATTTAAAAAGATCAAATAAGGCATTGATCAAAAAGCATTGTGAAACAAAGTCATATGCTTCCTTCATTTATGTACCTTTTATAACTGAAAATAAAACTGAATTTGGAACTGCATTAGTCTACAATAGCAATTTTTTGTAGACTGAGACAATTTAGTGATAGTTTCAATATCTAAAACACTTAACAAAGAACATATAAATTAATGTGCAAAAAGATAATGACACATTTTAATCAATAATAATCTACGACATAGTTTTAAGTCTTTTCTTCATTAACTAAAATAACAGCCATCAAATTTTTTAAATTTTTATGAGAAAATTTCAATGTATTTTAAGAATATATTCCTTCTTACCAATTTCATCTGGTGTAAAAGTAGCTGTGTAAACTCCATCATTTTCAGCAACAGCACACTTTTTTGATTTATTAGTCGGTGATTGAGCTTCCACAAAAACATTTCCACTTCCTACTCCATTTGAATTAATCTAAAAAAGTATTTATATGCAGCAAGAAGATAAAATTTAGTATTGAAAATAGCATAAAATAAAATAGAAAAAGAAAGCATAAATATAAATGGTAAGTATCTGTTATTTAGCCCTCTTATATCACATACAGAGCTATGCATACTACAATAAAAGATCTATGACTAACGTCTTCAATGTTTGAGAAATAACCCATGTACTAGAAATATTGAGTCCCCTGAAACACATTGCTGAAGATAAAATATCTTTCTCCCAAATAATATTGAATATAATGGAATGAGTGTTTTAAAATATATACAGTTAGCAAAGTTTAAAAAAAAAAACATTAAGAAGCCTACAGCATCACCATCTTGGATTTTAGGTTAAATTTCTAATTTGTGTTTTCTTGTTATTTTTGTACTTAACAAACTTATGATGGTATAGTATTATTAGACAGCAAAATTTCATTAAAAATAGAAAATAAACAGGTATCTTTATTAGATAAGAAAAATAGCATGAGACATTTTTTAAAACTTCTATGATTTTTTCCTCAAAGCTCTGAAGAAATAAAATGATGCAATTTTTTATTTTGAGTAAGCAATTTAAAACTATACATTTCTCTGTTTTTAGATTTTCAAAATCTAATTTTATAACAGTTTAAACAGATGAAAACAAATTTGGATGAAGCTAAAAAATTCTTTTAACATTAATAACTTAACAACAATACTTATCAAAAATCTAAAAACAAGAAAATGTAAACTATTTAACAACCTGTCAAAAACTGCTGATTGCAGAATTCTATTGACATAATTTTGACCGAAAAAATGAATACAGAAATTAAAATACTGCATTGCTTAATATCTCAAATTATAATAGGGTGGCAGCTTTGTGTTTTACGTGTATCGAAAGATGTTACCAAATAGAGTAAATATCTCACTATATTTATGAAAATTAAATATAGAGTATTAAAAAGCATATTTAGAATTTTTCCTCCCCATCTCTACCCCTTCAACAGTTAATATAGGTAATGAGAGGAAGGGTCTCTTAATAACTGCTTATCTTATTATAAGATTTTTATGCAGTAAGTAGCAATCATAATGCTTGAAGAAGAACACCTTAAATATAGCACAAAAATTAATTAAACAAACTCTGGAACAAAAAGATACTTTCCCTGAATGAACGTTCTTTCAAAATATTCAAGAGCTTGACAAATAAAAGATTGAAGATAACTCTAATTTGAGAAAAAAAGGTTTTAATAAGAATGGTCTAAATTTTTAGGTCTTTGAAAGTAATTTTTACAATTTGTGTATCTTGCTCATTCTCCTTTGGGGTTTAGTCATCCAAGTAAAAAAATCTTTGCATACAACTCATAAACTCATTTACACAAAGATAATTTCATACACAATATAAAGTAGAGATTATTTATTTAGCTCATTATTTGATTCAATAACACAAGCCAACAAAAATTATGGTAATAAAAATCTCAGGAAAAGAAAATTTCCTTAAAACATAAAATGACTGTAAATTGATATGGCATTCAAGATATTTTCCAAGAATAGTTTTTAAAATATATCAAGAGAAGCACAATTCATGCACTCCTGACATTTTTACAAAATTATTTCACACTCTTTCAATTCTGTTGGATCATCAAATATCATTTCCTTATCAGATTTTATAATAAAGCTTTTGCTTCTTCAATTTTTCCTTTATATAAATATATAAGAAAGAGAGAAAGCGAGAGAGAAAGAGAGATATATATATACTTAGATATATATAGAGATTATATATTGAAATATTATTATTTATATATATATGTTAAAATAAGTAATAAGATGCGTAACAAAACAACAATCAATGGTTGTGTTAGAATAGAACAATAAAAGGTTCTAAGTTATTTTCATCTATGTTTTCTATACCAATTATAACTCTTGTTATATCAGGCTCTAACTGATAAATATCCAGATCTTTCAAGTCTGAACCAGAAAATATGTCTAACACAACCATCGATTGTTGTTTTGTTATGCATCTCTTAGGCATAGTGTTGTGAGCAAGCAAAGTTTGTAAATAAGATAAATAAAAAAAAACACTTTTCTTCAATTCACTCAGGAACAAGAAATTTATTGCAAAAGTAAAACAAATAATAAGTATCAGAAAAAGAATATCAATAGGGAGAATTTATTCAATACCATTGTTGGAACATATTGAAAATGCTCTTTGATATTAAGTTTTAATTCTTTGTCAAATAATGCAAAAAAAAAACTTCCTGAACACCATAACTTTATCAGAAAAAATTCCATTGCAATAGTTAGAATTTCAACAAAAGGGAAAACTCAGTGTATGAAAGAGTGTATATCTTACATTACTTTCTAAGTATTCTATCACTTTGTTATTAGTCACCTGAAATTTAATGTTAAAAGAAATTTAACCTTAACATATTCAACCCCCTTTTTCCATTCAATCATTATTATTTATCTGGAATAGATGTCATAATACCAATTGAATGAAATGCACACATCATAACTCAATGAATCATTTGAAATCTAAAAATAGGACCCTTGAAACGCCAATATTCTAAAAATAGAGCATTAGACTTTAAACTAATAATTTGACTTTAAAACTTTAAAATAAAATTTTGAATTTAGCTTAACAGAGGTTTATTAACCCTTTAAAAGCTTGTAAGTATTGTATTAAAAAAAAGGATTTTTGGTAAATTATGTAACAAGCAGGACAAAAATTTACTAAATATATAAAAATTCCAAAATTTATGAAAAATCCAAAAATTATGAAATTGGAACCAATGCAAAAAATACTTCAAGATTTAAATTTTAAATGTGTGAAAAACAACATTATTCGAACTTTAAATTGCTAATTAAATTCAAACTCAAAGTTCATGTTTCATTTTTAGAACACTGGTATGTAAACGGTTAAGCTTTGTGTGATTATGTTTGAAGCATGGTGTTTTTCGATTATTCATAATATTAAATAAGAAAGCCTAAACTAAAATTCAAGCTCAATCTATCTATACAAGGAAAAAATATATTAACATAAAACATCATTAAAAAACATTCTTATTTCATCTGTCTTAAGTAAACTGAGACTAAAGTGATGAGTGAGAGTTAAAAATATGACTACATTGAAAGCCAGTTTACAAACAAATGAATTTGTGTCAACTTATAAATTACTTGAAGTGCATATATACAGGGCTGCCAATTACTACACTTTTTGCAAAATGTTTTATAGAGTGATAGACAATTAACTAAACTAAAGCTTTCAGAATTTTGGTAATTTTGTGAACATTTAAAAGCCTCACTATGAGAAAACTTGAACGAAATGGCTTTTCATACTAACTTTCAAATTATTTACATGTAGTGGGTGGAAAATAACTTGAAATCAAATTTTCAAAACAAAGAATAATACATTAAAACCTTTTTACAAAAAGCCTAAAAATTTGCCAGTCCTGTATATAGTATAAATTATGAAATTTTTACAATGAAGTTTACAGTAAGCTTTTGATTCTAAAGAAAACATTTTGCCTTTCAATGTTACATATTAATTATTTAAAAATATAATTTAACTTACCAATACTTCCACAACAGAACCCAAAGCACAAGGATCAATACCAGAGTAAAGAATTTTTGATATATCAGGATGAACTCTTATATGAAGTGGGCATTCAGTAATTAATTCATCTTCACAGTAAACCATTAACTAATAAATAATAACAGTATATGGCACTATTAGATTTTTTTATTATAATTTTATCAACTACTATATAGCGTAGTTGCAAACTTGTATGGTAAATGAGAAAAATGTCACAAAATAGTAGTAAAATAATTGAAACAGGAAAAAAATTTGAATATTAAACTATTTAGATAAAGTAACAAAACAAAACAAAAAAAAACATATCTAACAACTAGATCTTACAAATATTCGTATGAATAATTAATTTTTCAAGAAGAGTAAAACATTTTTAATATCTGTAAAGAATGTCATTCTTTCCAATATTTATGCAGTAAAACAAAAATTTCTCTGGGGAACCTCACAAATTGGCGGCTATGTATTAGTAGTAATTAAATTTAACATGTATTCATAAAAATATCAAAATTTAAACAACAAAAGCATTTAAATTTTGTTGGAAAATTTAAATAGGCTAATAAAGAATAGTTAAATAAAAATTAGAACCTTGTAAGTATTAAATATAATCTCAAAAAATAAGTACAAAAATTACCTCATGCATTCCAACATCTGTAGGCAAGAAAGTACCAGTACCTCCATTTTTTGATAAATGCAACTGGCAATCAATTTTTTTACTTTGAAAAATAACCTCAGCTCGCACTTTTTTCTCGTCAACAACATCATGTATGCCAAGTTTAAAATTTGCCTAAAAGTAAAATTAAGTAATGTAGAAGAGAAAATCATTTTTTAGTTTGAATAAGGAAAATATAAATACTTACTGGCTTATTTACATGCACATTGTTTAAATTAATGCCTATAATGCTGATTTTATCTTTTGGTCTTTTTAATGGTTTTACCCACTGAAATCGGGCAATATATGCCATTACTCCAAGGTGTTCAACTTCTGGATCCGACAGTTCCTTAGGTTTAAGTAATGGCCGAACTCCTAAACTCTCACCACCGAGAAGACCTACAATAAAAATAAATTACGATTAATTTTAATAAAGTCTAATCCTTTAACAGCATTGTTCAGAAAGTGTGCAGTAATTATTTAGATTAGAATTTCTAAATTTTTTTCATTACTGATTATGAAAAGTACTAGCAGATAATGAAAATTAAACGAAATATTCAAAGTATTAGTAATCTGTTAAAAATTTTCAAATATTTGATGATTTTCATTCAAGAATTGAATATAAAACCAGACAAATAGTTGAATATTTTTATCCATGGTTAACGGAGTATTCATAAATACATTTATAGCACATTTCTGATTAACTACTACAAATCATTAAGAGCATAACATGCTATTTCATATCATTTAATTACAAACATAAGCTAATATGCATTTAAATAAATAGAATAAAATTTAACACAAACACATAATTAAATAAAAGTTTATTATATTTATGTAAGTCTGCTTGATTTTTAAATAAAGTAAAGTGCCTGCATACTTTTAAGAAGCAGGAGTAATAGAACTTATTTTATCTGTTCAACTAACTACTCAGTGAAATCAATACCTATTGACCAAGGAAAATATTTAGTACACCAAAACAATCAAAATATAAAGAAACGGAAAAAAAAATTAATTAAACAAATGGAACACAAATGGAAAAAATTTAAATTTAAGTTTCCAAAAATTAAATTCAAAGTTGAGTAAAATCATTATTTGTTGATTAAAGGAAAAATCAATATACCTAACTAATCAAATATAAATAAATAAATTAAGCAGTTGAAAAACATAAAATGCAGGAAGTAAGTAAAATGTACGAAGGTGATAAGATATTTACAAGAGTGTATAAAACAGTAGATGCGTTAAAACTTTTATATGTGGTTAAAAATACCAGCGGCACATAAAAATGCAAAAATGTTAGGATGTTATCATCCAACAAATCTTGCATGCATAAAGGAGAACTCCAAAAAACTTTAAACGATGTTGATTAAAACATGGACACGCTATTAAAATATGATGAATTGTGAGAGATACGTCACAAGTACTGCATTCCGGAGAAGGCTCTTCAAACAGTAAATGGAGGTGTGTTAACCGGGTGAGACCGATTCAGAGGCGTGTGAGCTTTACGGCAGCACTGCACAAGCGCAGCACTGGCAAATTGTCTAAATCAGATTTAATGCTATGCAATTTATTAAAAACTTTGAAGTCCCATTGTTGTTGCCATATTGATATTACAAATTTTTGAATGTGTAGATTCACATTGTCGAAAGGTATGGACAATGTTAAGACGGATGTGGCAGATCGTGCAGCTGAGTCAGCTAGTTCATTCCCTGGAATACCAACATGACTTGGTAACACAAAGAAGGGAAAATAACCTAAATTATTTAAGAATTATAATAGTAAAACAATAAAAGTAAATACATTTTAAGATGTGTAAAAAATTCACTAGTTTAAGAACATAAAAGAACAAATATATATATATAATTATCGCACGAACCATGTTGAATATTTTGCTCCCAAAACGATCTATCTTTTTTCAGTTCAGTATAGTCTGGAACATTAGCTCCGTATGATTTTACCAGTGCACAGAGGGCATGGCCATCATTCCAGTCAGTCTACATGATATACATATTTGTATTAATGCAAATTACATACAAACATTTCAAAAAAGTCTTAAGAAATTTGACAAAAAGGAACATTAAAAAAAAAAATTCTTGTTACATAAATTTATTGATTAACATACAGCATTCCTATCCAAAAGTGAATTTAACTTCTATACACCATTCTCTTATAGATAATATTTTCCTCAACTAGAGAGCAATTAAATGTAAAATAAAATTTTAAATGTGGGTTGATTTAATAGTATACTTATATAAAATTCAGATTTTACTGGGTGTAAAGTTAGAAAAAAATAAGCAAAAACCAAACCCTCCCCTTCTTTTTGAAATGTATTTCATTTTCTTCCAATTTAATTGTTATGAAAGTTTGATAACTTAATTTCAACAATTATTAAAGTAAATGTAACTTACATTCACCTCTAACTATATTTATTTGCTGAAAAATGCTGAATTGTTGAATGAACAAGCATGAATGAGAGAGAGAATAATGCAATATGAATTCAATAGAAAGAAAAATTTATGGGAAAATATATATATATAAATAAATTGATGGAAAAACTTTTGAATAGAAAATAATGAATAGTAGAAATGTAATTTTAAACAATAAAATATATTTAATTAAAATATTTTTTTAATTAAAAAAATGCATTCAAAAATTTTGATTAGTAGGTAACATAAAAGCAGTATATAAGACAAATTAAGACTTGGAAAATAGAATATGTTGAATACAATAGTATTACAATATTTATCTCTTAAAATAAATCAAAATGTGTACTTGAGTATAAAAATTATGCAACCAATTTTTAATATCTTCAATTAACTTCTTTACAGCAAAGACTGCACACATTTAAAAATAAAAAAGTTGGCAAAGGAAATTAAATTGATGAGTAAGTGTGCTTTTTTTTCTAATGCAGTTGTGTTAAAAAACTAGTTCTAATTCATAAAATTTAAACTTACAGTGAAATTTTCAATCTTAAACTGAGGTAACTGCTTTTGAACCCAGCTAAGAGTAGCTTTGTATCCAGGACTCTCATCCTTCATGAAGTACGATAAATAAGTCATTCCAGATAATTCATCTAAATTATAACTTGCTAAGTCTTCTGGTGTTAAAATCATTGGAATTCCAAATTCATCTCGAGCCATATGCATAGCATTTTGACAGTTTTCAACGCTATTTATAGATTAGTATAAAAATTAATTACTAAACGAATTTGATAAAGAGTAGTTTCAGTTTACAACAATAAATGAGTAAATCTTACCTATTTTTTATGCTTAAAGTTTTCCACTGAGGACACAATCCAGGCTTACAATAATCAACTAAAGCACTAAAAATTTTAAAATTATATGTCACAAAATTGGCATTTACTAGCACTACAAAGATTCATAATATTAATGTCACTATAGCAATAAACTATGATTCAAATCGCCAATGTATTATACTCATGAATGTTTTGTCCTTCAACGAAGTCAAAATAAATAAAAATATATATTAATGTAAGATCCTGTGGTGAGCGCTCTACATATATCTCTGTGATTAAACACTTCTTCAACTCCTTGAAAACAGCTTTTTATCTTTTCTTTATTTCCTTTTTTAAAAAAAAAGTTTTTGAAGTGACAAAAATTTTAAGAAATTTCAAAATTATTATTTTTGATATATTTTGATATATTTTTTAAAGTTTCATTTAATGGATATTCCAATTGTTTTACATTACAACATTTCTGTTAGAAAAACCAATTTATTATAATTCTTGAAACAGTCAACAACTAACTGCATCAAGTTTTATATACTAAACATAATCAGAAGCAACATAAATATTGGAAATAAAGTATAATAGCTGGAATCATTTATTCTTATTTAATTCACATCCATTGATGAAAACTGAAAATATTACCTTAGAGCAATACCACTATTCCAATCAGATGTAAAGTTTGAGATGTGCAAAGTTGGCAATGCAGCTTGTAACCAAGATAGCATTAGTTTTTTAGGTGGAAAATTTGTTCTACCTATCTGATACCTGAGAATCAAGGACCATATAAGACCGAGGATAAGTTTCAAATTTCCTTCTACAATATCTGTGTTACCTAAAACATAAAAATAAAATAATTAGATAAATTTACTTGTAAATGTTATTTTAATTTACTTAAAGACACTTATAAAGAAGTTAACTTTTCATCAAATTAAACAATGTTCAATTGATGAAACTCATTAATAACTTAACAAAAAACTAGTATGTAACTTTTATCTTAGTAAAATTATAGAACTAGAATGTTAACAAACTCAAAGATTTCTTAATTTATGCATTTCAAAAATTGGTTAAAAAATCAAAACAAAAAAGTTTTTTTTTTTTTTTCGTATTTCAAAAAAGAAGTTAGATCAGTAAAATATGTGGATCCGTAAAATGTGTTTCAAAATATGTAGAATCTGCAAAATAAAATTTCAAAAGGTATTTGTTTATTGGTTTCTGGACATGACTAAAAAATTTATAGTGAAGAAGAATGTCTTCAAATCTAGGAACAATGTTCAACTTAAGACAAGAAAACACTATAAAATTTTAATCAATCGTTTTTTTTTTTTTTTTTTTTTTTTACATAACTCAACAGTATGCGCATTCAAATATTTTCTCTAAAATCTGAAATTATATAAAATAAGGAGGTTAAGATTAAAAAAATAAATTTATCAAAAAAGTTACGGCGAACATTAAATGCCACTCTTGGAACAGTGTTGTTTTTTTTTAATTTGTAGACTTTGTCAAAAGTAAATTAGCATACGGTCCCTCCCTTCCCCACTTAGACAATTCTGTGATTAATAAATTATTAACAAATTTTTTTAAATAAAATTATAAAAAGGTTCATCAAAATTTTTCAAATAATAAATCTAAATCATAAGATTTGTGAATGCATTTGTAAATAATAGATAAGTGAAAGGCCCCTCAATTTGCACTTTTTAATTGCTTTACGCTTAAGAAAATATTTTCCCTACTAAAGTAATTTAAGAGAACTGAAATCTCTAAAAATCTCAAATCCAGTAAGATAAATATGAAGTCTTAGATACGATATGGTACAATTAAAAGCTCTAACTTCGCTTATTGCCCTACACCCATATGGAAAAAATTCTTGAATGATCCCCAAGTTCAAGGACATCTTAATAAAACCAATCTAATATGTACTTTACATTACTCTATAATTTAAAAACATTCTAAATTATTTAATAAATAAATAAAATTCTTCTTAGGCACTACAGCCCTGGACAGACCGAGGCCATCTCAAGAAGTTTTTTTCACCTTGCCCTGTTAATCACAATAAGAAAAATTGCATTTATTATATTTATAAAATTATATTAGTATATTTATAAAATTATATGCATTATTAAATTTATTAATAAACATACAGAATTACTTAATAGGCCAATATGAGCTATTCGTGTATATGTCTGCATATCTGCAATGATCTAAATGAGGACAGGCTTAAAAAACTTATTAAATTTTAAAAGAAATTAGTATAATTATTTTATAGTTATATAAACGTATGTAACTATTATAATTATTATTATTATGCAATTAGAACTGCACATCTGTCCAACGCAAAAAGTATACAATTGTTAAATAATAATAATTTCAAGAAACAAAAAATAAATTTGATGACTCAATCCTTCCATAAAAATAAATATTTAAATAAAAACTTAAGAGGCTCAAAAAAAGTTTTAAACAGGCAAAACTAAGAATGGATAATGTAAGATAAAATAACAGTAGAGAAAATAATAGAAGAGAAAAGGGATAAACGGAAGAAAAAAAATTATGTGTGTTAAATGATCATTTTCATTTACAAGTGTAAATACAGAATAAAAAATAAAAAGGTTGAAAAGAAATAAAACGTGTTTGTTTACAAGTCTAAGAATTTAAATGACAGAAAAGAAATATTTCACAATAGAATGATTCATTGTCCACCTAAAGATTCCCATGATTACAAAACAAGGCCAAAGAAAGAATAAAAAAGATTTCTTCCTTGAAAAATGCAAGCTAAGGGTTACCTTTCAAAACCTGTTAAACTCTCTGAGTTTAAACAATAAAGAATGCATTGAAGAATATGCATTACTTTCATTAATAGTCAAATTATTATTTTTTTTTTCCTTAAAGAAGTTCCACATAGGTTAGATAATTTTTGAAAAGAAAAAAAAAATGTTGGACACAGAAGCAGCTTAAACTAGACTCATCAAAGTGTAAACCTAAAAAAATTGCCAAGTATCTACATAAATCTTATTTATATCTATTGTATTATTTTTAACAGGAATAATTAGGTGAAAAATATGCTTTAAATTTTTTTCATAAAAAGATTTAGATTATTTATTTATTTTAAAAAAAGCAAAAACAAGGAAAACAAAATATTCTAATAACTCTTCTTTTACGCATCATTAAATGATAATAATAAACACGTAACCAAAAGTTTGACTAACAAAAAATTAAATCATTCATCGATTTTCTTTTTAGATATTTTCGTTAAAGGGCCGACCATAAAAAATCAAACTTTTTTCACCCTCATCTTCCCATTGTCACAAAATGTCACTCTTCACCATATCTCCCGTATAGTCTTGTCACATGTACTTGCTAACTATACTAGCAGTTCAGAAACAAAACATGTTAAAGATCATATTTCAAATTTTATTTTTAAACTTCAACTTCGTTTTTTAAGAAATCTGTAGGCATAACAATAATAATAATAAAAACTGCACCTACGATGTGTACTTATTTAGAAGGCAAAAAAATAATAATATAAAAATATATAATCTGCTTATTTTAATAATTTCTACTTTAGTCAAAATGTGGGGTGTCACACTTATTTACACCTACCCTCCATCTCGTCATTAACTGTCACAATTTCCGAAACTCCCTCCCTCCTCTCTAAGTGTTACATCATTTATGGACGGCCCCTAAAATAATTATAATATTCAAAATGTTTCAGGGAATACAATAATAAGAACAAAAAATACAGACTATATAATTTATTGTTCACTAATTGTTTCTAACGTTAAAAAAAATGTAAATTGTAGTTAAACCTTATTAAAAAAAATTATTTTTCAAAAATTCTAAAAACTCTAAAAAACAACTAATTTTCTGTGAATGTTAACTCAAAAAGGCTTGCTTTGAGTCTGGCTGAGAAATGTTTTGGTAGTATTACCTTTTTTTTTTTTTTAAGTTGGAGTTTTAAAAAAAATCAATTTGTAGATGAGATTTAAAGGATATTTGGGGGTCGACGTTGTATTATCGAAAAAATAGACTTATAGAACTTATACTTAATGCAGACAAGATGTAAGTGCTCATCATAATGCTTTTATGCCCTTTTAGAATGAAATGATTTAATCTATTTTTACGAGTTTTAAAAAAACAGTAACAAAGAGAAAAAAAAGCCAGAGCAAAATTAAGAAGTAATATGCTAGTAGTAAAACTAGCAGTTATAATAAATGCTACGTCATTTCACGTTAATTTAAAAGGCCAATTTTATTAGAATTTCCGTTTCAAAAATAAATTTATAGTATTTACTTCAAAATATTTCTTACTACATTATTCTCATGGTTTGAAAGAAACACCTGCTTCTTTTATTATTCTCAGAACAGAGAAAGACTGGTTTTGTTGATTGTAGATGCAAACAATCTTCTTACGATGTTTGTAGAATAAAATATTTTAGGTTAATAAAACATTAAGCCCATAGATAAACAATTCGCGTTTCATTTCTATTACTTAAGTAACTTTTTTCTTCATAGCGTTTGTCAATGTAATAAAAGCTCTCATAACAATTCGCGTTTCATTTCTATTATTTAAGTAACTTTTTTCTTCATAGCGTTTGTAAATATAATAAACGCTCTCATTACATAACTTTCCCGTGACTATCAGAACCACAAGAGCACCTGTTAAATATTTTCCATTCGCTTCTGAGTGGAGTTAATGTTAGAATGCGTGATTAACGTAATAACAAAAAGTAATTAACAGGATAAAAAGGGGTAACACTGTTTAACTTATAAACCAAAACTAGCTTGCTTATCAATGAATAAAAGATTACGAATAATATCTTCAACATAAACATATGCACTCTCAGTGAAAGGAGATGTGATCTACTGTTAGCTCTTGTAAAATAGATGTAAAATCGATCATGTAAATCGATCATGTAAATCATAATCGAGATCATGTAAAATCGATGTTTCTTCAATATCACGATAACAATATTTTAAAATGAATTTTTATGTTATATCATGAATGCCATCACTTTCGACAAATATATAAAACACGATCATTAATGAAATCAATATCGAGAGCATAATACCACATCAATGATAAATATCAAATACTCTAATAGCAAAGTGTTATGGAATACGACAATATCGAAATCATTATCAACAACTATAAAAATCGATCACGAGCACGAGTATTATCGATACTGATAATTATCAAAAACGATATTACCACGAGTGTTTATATATTTCTTTCGGGTAGCCAAAATATTGACGTATGTAAAATAAAGTTTTGCGTCAATTCATCTCGTACAATTCGTTGAGCCGCATAATTTGACGTGGAACAGCTCGTCGATGAGACAATTCGTCGTAGAGCACAATTCGTTGTAGGAACAACTAACTCATCTTACCGACAATTCATCGTAAGCATAATTTCTTGCGGCTTCGATGAAACACATCTATTAAAGAAAACAAAACTTTTACATTGTCTACAAAAGCTAACTAATTTATAACCGTCCAAATATTACAAAAGCATCAAAGGAAAGACTTAGATAAAATGAAAAACGTTCTGCGATAACACAAAAACTCAATTAAAAAACTTTCTGATAGCAAATAACCGTTATAACTATATTCACCCCTTTCTTCGCCACCTCATTTTGGCAAAATTTGTTTGAAAATCACTGATATTAAAACAGATTTTAAAAATGTTTCAATTTTTATAAAACTCTATAGAGTCATACCAAAGGGATGGGAAAGCCGAAAAAGCTGAAAAAAAGAAATCCAGAACTTTTATGAACAAAAATACTTTTTTAAATAATTGAAAAAATACCTGAAATTTCAGCAAAGGAAAAAGTAATATGAA